GGAGGCCATCGCTTTTAGATTGGAGGCTCCACTTTTGGGTTGGTGGCCATCGCTTTTGGATTGGAGGCCATCGCTTTTGGGTTGAAGGTTGGAGGCCATCGCCTTTAGGTTGGAGGCCATCGCTTTTAGGTTGGAGGCCATCGCTCTTAGGTTGGAGGCCATCGGTAGAATTTTGGAGGCCATCACTTTTAGATTGGAGGCTCCACTTTTGGGCTGGAGGCCATCGCTTTTGGGTTGGAGGCCTGGCTTTTAGGTTGGAGGCCATCGCTAGAAGGTTAGAGGGCCTTTGCTTTTGGGTTGGAGGCCATCGCTTTTAGATTCGAGGCTCCACTCTTGGGTTGGAGGCCATCGCTAGAAGGTTGGAGCCCATCGCTTTTAGGTTGGAGCCCATGGCTTTTAGGTTGGAGGCTCAACTTTTGGGTTGGAGGCCACCGCTTTTGAGTTGGAGGCCATTGCTTTTAGGTTGGAGGCAATCGCTTTTAGGTCGGAGGCCATGGCTTTTAGGTTGGAGGCCATTGCTATTAGCATAGGATTTATGCGCCTTGGATGTGACGCTCTTTATGCCACAAGAACTTTGCCTCTGGATGACCAGGTGTCATTTGTGCTGAGGTCTGTGGTGGCAAGGACGACAATGATTCTGAGGAGAAAACCTTGCTGTGAGATTAGTTGTCATCCAAGTGCCTGACATAATTCCTCGCATTCTCAGGTAAGATACACATGTACAATTTGTTACAGGGTGTTGCGGCTTGTTCACAGTTTTGCCAGGAACTAAGCTCTGTGGAGGGCTTCGATCCAGAGACTGGCTGTTGGGAAGTCCTGCCATCCATGAACAGCAAACGAGCCAATGCTGGTATTGTGGCCTCAGGAGGCAACTCGTCACAACTCACATGACATGACCATTTCGATGGCTAAGCGGCTAAGGTTATGTCTACATTTGCGGAGGCAAGAGATGCTGCAACAAACGAAACCCCCACCGTTCATGTTGTGTCCCAACTCGAAGAACACAGCCAAAGCACCCTGAAACCAAACTGGCCTGTACCAAAACCATTACAGCCACATTGCTCTCCAAGGTTTTGGTTCCTGTGCTTGCACACCATTTGTGCAACTTGCTTCTTCCTGCGATGTGCACGTTTAAGGGGATTTTTGTTCCTGTTTGCAAGGTGCAATTCTATGGTTTGCCGTTTCTGCTGGCCTGTTGTTTGGAGTGCCTTTAGTGTGTGATTGCACCAACAGCGCAGCCTTCGCATTGTATAAAATATATTAATATTACTATAATATACTGTAGCTTGCTCCTTGTAGCATTTTATGGCGCGTATGCTGCTTGCGACGAGCCGTTTTCGATGCGGACACGCTGCCGACAGACCGACGCGGTGCCAACACCAGCACTGGGCAGTATTGTCGTTTCCTTTGCCTGCGTTGGAATCGCGCAGAGTAGTGCTTGGACCCAGCAGTGCGGCAAAACGCCAGTGCATCCTTGCTGCAGCTTTCAGCCGAACATGTACCCTCACCGACATGGAGACAAAGGAATGGGCTTGATGAACATTGACAGGGTGTTCAGACTAATTTGCTATTCTCTTTGCTGCACACAAGCCTGGCAAACAAATGCTCACTTCCACTGAACGCCACAAAGCCAGGCAGAATCTATTCTGACAGTGGTCCATCAACCTGCCTGCGTTCAGTGGAACGCTACTGCTTAGCGAGGCCTTGGATCGTTCGCGCTGAGTGAACCAATGCGAGCAGAAGAATACCTTCGAAGGGGAACACTAGGATGAACTTCCTAGGGAAGTCTAGATGGAGTTACAAGTCATCACTGTCACAACTGTAGGATGTGAGATGTGCAGCAAGCCAGGTGAGGTCTGGTGCTCGAGATCAGATAAAAGTATAAGCAGTATTGCACCCTCATGGATTTTGTAGGCCATGCCATGCACTGGAATTCTGTTCGCAGGATTGTTCACGAAGAGCTTTTCGCAGTTGACCCTGTGAAACCCACCAGTCCACAAGTCTGATCCAGTCGAAAGAGCGGGCTCAGTCGGAACTGGAATTTTGATCTCAGAGTTCCCAGGCCAAGGGAGGCATACCACAGGCCACAGGTATGTCTGTCTGGGTGCACCTGCACCAGCCTTTTCTGCACAGACCCAAGCGACACAAAGAACAAAAAAGGAGACAACACGAGGACAGACCGAACAACGATGAACATATGTAACCAGATGTGAGATAATTAGGGATAGGACGCCGAATCCCAGAACTATGCAGATATTGTTTCTGGTGTGGCTGGTAATTAGTCAGCTAGGAGACCCTGAGAGAGGACCATCATTGATTTTCTTGAAGCAGCTAACCTTTTCGGCATTCTAGGCTGCCGAAATACTGTGACTGTACAGTTTGACCGTATAATGATTCCTTTTTGCCGCCCCTCCAGATAGCTACCACAAATTTTCCGTTGCTTGGACACGCCGTTGGCTCGTAGGCGCTGCTGGGAGCTTTTACCTCCGATACCAGAGACCTGCGAGCCACATTCACTTCTATTGGTCTAGGATGGAGCTAGGAGCAGCTGGGAGGCTGTGGCCAATGAGCCTTTTCCAAGTCGCCCAAGATTCTCCATCACTTGCAGGACTCACATCCAGCAATTGAGTCAAATTTATCCCTACACCATTGCAGTCAAAGCACTTGCATGGTCCTTGATTGCAACATGCAGTCTTTATCGATTGGAAATGGTTCACGCGTCTTACACGCCTCTGGTGTACATATCATGATCTCTGACTCTGCCCACTGACTATCTCATGCTCCAAAAACTGTGCGAATGTCCTTGTGACAAAATGGCTGCAAAAACTTGCATTCTTCTACCCCTGACCGAAATGGTACCGTACATACACCTGCACACAGACGCCATTTTGGCTCTTGTCCGAGTTCAGACTGGCCCAGACGAGCAATCCATGATATGCCGCAGTCTGCGTCAAAGTATAGGTTTCCTGTGGCTTCCTGGTTCTGATTCTTAGTTCATACAGAGGAAGTTCAGGTTCCACTAGGATCAGCCAATGCGCAAAAGGAGGGCTGCAATCGCTACGAAAGGCCTCATGATGTCACCGAGCCGTGGCTCAGCCATGGCTCTGAGGGATGCCCCTACCAGCTGAAGATGCCAGTGCTCGACCCAGACGAAGGCCGCAGATGAGCTAGACAGAATGTCGGAGACATAGACGTTTGTGGAAAGAGCTACACTGGTCCACTGTGAAGGGGTGTGATGGGGGGGTGAAGGGAACATAGGGAGAATCATCCACATAATTGGCGGGAATGTGCAGTATGTTCAGGCATGGGAGACGGCAGAGTCGGCAACCGGAGACGTCTACTTTAGCCTGTGGATGGTCATGCTCCAGAGCCTTGCTGATCATTGTCACCTTGGCTGCATGGAAAATCAACTGATCAGCTGCTCACGTGTTTTGGCGGATGTAGATGCAACTCGTTCGTTTTGAATTGAGCACAACTCCATTTAGGCTGTCCTATCGACTATTCTGCTTGTCGCAAGCACCTACTCTCAGCTGCTTACTTAGCGCAGACATATTATAGCCTGCTTGCTGCTCTTTGAACCTCCTTTTGTGCAAGCCATTTGCAGGGCTGATGCTTCTTCTTTGATGAGCCTCTACCTGCAATCTGTCTTGACCTTAGCCACTTTAGGACGTTTATGTAGGGCATATTGCTATTTCCCATCATAAGGCTGCTGCAGATCGATTCCTTGGCCGTCCAGCCCTGGAAGGCCTGCACGACACAGACCACCCCAATGCCACACCAAGGAGTTGCAGGCTGCAGAGTGACATTTTTCCTACATTTGCCAATTCTCCAGGTCGCAATGCGACAACAGACGCAGACAGAACAATATCTACGCCAGCTCCAACCACACCAGCTGCGACATCCGTGCCACCTCAGACGACTGCTGCTCCAGCAACTAGGAAGAGATCAGCGGAATGGACCGGACGATTTTCTGAACAAAAGAGGACACTGATAGGAAGCTACTAGGAACAAGTGCATCGCTACTAGTAACAAGTGCTAGTAGTAACAAGAAGCTACTAGGAACAAGTGCCTTACTACTAGTAACAAAAATAAATTAATTGGAATTGTAATTACTAGCAAAGGAATCAGCGGAATGGACCGGACGATTTTCTGAACAAAAGAGGACACTGAGGGTGCTTTTCCCGTCTTTTGATATCATATTGGAAAGGAAAGCCTGATGGCAAGTATTGGCACAAGGGAATGGACCACTGGTGTGAGTTGTTGAGGTTAGAGAGCCTGTGGCAACGTCACCTGGCAGCATGTGCAGATGAAGGGAAACGCAGAGATGGAACAAAGCGACTTCCGGGACGACAGATGGGGATACGTTTTGCTTCGAAACCACAGGACCAGAGCGTCTGGAGCTCCTTCCACGACACTTCCGACACTTCAGACTACGCTTCAGAGCTCACAAGCCGATGGCCCTGTGATGCAGGCGCAGAAGCATCAGAAGCCAAGCCTTGACGATTTGTACAACGGGGTCTTGTGAGGTCACTGATGGGTCTGGACGTTTGGGCAACAACTTGGCCTTCATCCTTCGCCACTGGGCAAAAGAAATGAACACAGGACACTTTACTGCATTATATTTTCAGGAACAGGAACTACACGTGCCTGCAGGTGGAATTATTTATGCAAAGCTCACTCATCATGTGGCGGTTCAATTCAGCATTACCAGCAAGTCCGTGAAGGAGCTCTTCGAACCAAAGGTGGACCAACTCTATCCTTTATCTCGCAAGAGATGCATCGACATTTTCCTTTGTGTGGGAAGCAGCACCTGGGGGAAAATGTAATGTCTAGTTTTTTGACAAGTCTTCGCCACAGGCAGTGTTGCAGCTGAGTAGCTCCAAGCTGGAGGGTCAACGTTTCTGTCCAGAGAAGTCAAGACCTCAGGATAGTGACCTGAGGAGGTATCACGATACACTCAACATGGGCAGAACTTTTATGATCTGAAAGGTCTGACAAGCGCCAAGAAGGAAGGCCAATCTACAACTTCCAGGCTGGATGCTGTACTTCAACTATTGAACAGACACTCCACCTTCCATCAATGCTTGTCAAGAGTGCTGCGCGTGCAGGGCGAGCGATGCAAGGGTAGCACAGCGAAGGCGCATGCAGCCCCTGCGCATATATGCAAAGGTTTCGCATGAGCATTCCAGGCTTGTCATCTGTTGTGTGCTGCCGCCATTCTGAAGATTTGGCTGTGTACTGTGTACCCGCTTCGGTCCTCAGCATGGCTGCGCCGTCTCGTTTGGCTGCAGCTGCAGAACACATCAGCAAAGCGGATGCCTTGCTGATTTGCACTGGTGCAGGAATGGGAGTTGATTCAGGCCGGACATCAAATATGTTCTTTGATGCAGCATGGAATGCAGATAGTGCTACTCCTTAACAAAGACATATCTAGCATTTCATTTTGCTTGTGAGGTTTTGGAATGTTCACAGATGGTGGCTGAGGTTTGGGAACCTTCCGCGGGCGAAATGCTGGTGTGTGGCCTCCACTGAAAGCAATGCAGATGGATTTCAGCGAAATGTCAAGTCCAGATTGGTTTGATACGGATCCAAGGCCAGCATCCATTTTGGCAGCTTTCATAGTGGATGTCAAATCTTTCAGTGTTGTTCTTCGAGAAAAGCATTCTTCGCTGGGCAGGCTAGCCTGGGCTTTCTGGCGGTTTCGACATCAAGCGTATACCCTTGGCGAGCCTCACCGTGGTTACAGCCTTCTTGCGGAATGGGGAAACAAAATGAAGTGCCTCAGATCAAACAGGTAGATTCATATTTTTAGTGTCGGGCATGCCGCTGACTTGATCTCCACAGCTCAGGTATGGCTTGTTCTCTGTCACATCAAACATTGATGGGCACTGGGACCGGACTGAAGGAGTTGGTCCAGCAAAAGTTTGGGAACGCCACGGAGTCTGCATCCTAGACCAAACATGTTTGAAGAAGCAAGCACGCTTGGAAACCCAGAACCAAACCAACAAGGATTTTGATAGTGAGTTTGGATGGATGCTCTTTTTCTACTGTCCCTCTGAAGCCTTCAGTAAATACGGTCCCTTAGAAGTGCTGAGGCTTTGACTCGCATGCAGTGCGTGGAGGATGACGAAAGCATTTGGCCCACGGATGCAAAAGACCTGACGAGCATCGAGGTCCCAGAATGGGATTTGCAAGCTGGAGACGAGGCACAAACCGATCAAGTGGGAGAAAGTTACACTTGACTTGACAAGTTGTTGGGGAGTTCCTGGAATTCAAGCTGATGCTGTTTAGTGCTTTTATTACATGCGTTGCCCCTGGAGCAGGTTCTGGCCCTCGTTGCAGGTGCGGAAGTTCCAGCCGTCGTGCAGGAAGATGGCTGCTCCTTGGCAGTTGATGGGGAGCCAGTGAGCGCCAAAGCAGTGCGACGTAAAGATGGGCCTGACTTGCTTCGAAGTCTTCCAGGATCTCGACTGCCGAGGCATAGGGTTTGGATGCTGCTTTTTCTTTGCTTTGGTGAGGTCCATTCTAAATCTTTTGAAATGGGTTCCCAGAAATCTCCAAATCTCTCTTGTGCGGAGGAGCAGAGAAGGGAAACCTGCACGGCCCAATGTGTTGATGTTCAGCGATTTCGGCGTGAATATGAGGATCATTAGCGAGCAGGAACAAAGATTCAATGCATGGCTGAAGGAGCTGCCCGAATCAGCAAATCTCGTTATTGTGGAGGTGGGCGCTGGGAAGGCTGTGCCAACAATCAGATTCACTTCGGAAAGAATCATGGGTCGGTTCCAAGGGGCGTCTTTGATCCGAATCAACTGGGATGACAGCGATGTCGGACGTCACCTGCAAGAGCGTTCTATTTCAATAGGGGGGATAGGTGCACTTGAGGCTTTGACAAAGATCAATGAACTGCTGGAAAGTTGAAAGACTTGAAAGTGGACAAAGTTGAAACTGCTGTACAAAGTCATTTGCATCAATGGTGTGATTTGCAAAGCGTGATTTTGATGCTTCAAACGTAGCATGAGTGCTTTGAGCACAGCTGCTTGTACAGTGGCAGCCTGCCCTGTGGGGCTTCGGGTTCACTGCTCATAATGCATCCGCCCACAAAAGTCGCAACTGGCCAGTCACGCAACATTGTTGGCCTCAAAACCTTGAGAAAGACAATCCTTGGGCTCAGAGATCACTCCAACGCTTCGTGACTCCATGGATCTTGATGGGAGTAAAGTTGCTTTGGCTTGCCAACGAAGCAAGTTGTGAGTCCAACAGTGACAGGACTTTCACACTTTGGCATTGGACACCTTGGTGCAGGACACTATTCAGTTTGATCTTGATTGAAGGTTTGCAAGTTTGAGGCGGTATCAGTTTTACTAGACCGAGTCTAGCAAGCAATTTGCTTTAGAGCTACCAAAGTTGCGGATTTTCAGGCATTCAAACCGGAATTCAAAAGTTGTCCCTTCCTTGGATGCTTGTCGTAACATCACTAGATGTCAAGATGATTGTCAGCTATGAGGTTTGAATAATGTTGGAGCGCCTGAAGATGCGGAGAAGGAGATTGCCTTGCAGTTCACACATTTGCCTACTTGATCCTATGTGATCCGTGGGTCATTGAAAACAGGAGTTGACAGTTCACCTCAGGGGGCAGGAGCTGGGAGTGAAGTGAGCGAAGGCAGTCACGTGAGGTTGAACATTCCACAAATAATACAAGAACCTCTCGCAAAGATTCTATATAATTCAGAAGTAGTGAATGAAGTGACATCAGGAAAGCTATTGCAGAACAGGCATTGCAATTATTGTGCATGCGACCAGTGATGCTATGCAACCAACAGCGTTCCATCAATGGGTTCAATTGAATTCCAGGACCTTTGGGGCATGGCTGAGTATGAGCTCAAATCTGATAAGCCGATACCCATGGAGGCGACACAAATCCAACACATTCTTTGTGCTTCGTTTCGTTGTCTTAGTGGGTCTAAGCCGTCTTTGACTCTCCAGATGTCTGCCGCGGCGCAAGTTAGAGCTTTCCGGGTGTTCGAACGGGGAGGCTTCGGCCTTCTGCACATCAACAAAAGCCACCAGCCTATTTTTCTCTTGTCTTTTTATGTCTTTTTTGAAGAACCCGCGGGGTAGGCCGCTAGTAGAGGTGAGGTGGGTTAGCCGCTACTGAGCTAGTACCTACAAGTAAGCTACTACATATGGAGGCAGAATAGCTCACACTTATTCAAGGAAGGGGGGAGCTTCCTTGTGAAGAAGTTAGCTTTTGGAAGCGATTCAAGTTCACCTCCACAGGTCATGCCTCTTTCCGCTGCCGTGTAGGGATCCCTTTGGCCAAGAACTGGCACATGACCAGTGCACGGCCGTGGACGGCCGTGACGACCGCACGCACCCGAAGCCATAGGTGGAAAACCGCTTTGGGCCGAGGGCAAATCGAGAAGTGTACCAAGTTGTTCGCTTTTGCTTTGCTGTGCCAGTGGCTACCTCACATTGGTAGCGGAGCCGGGCGATCCGGCTCGGCTCAACCATCGTGGTTGGGCCCTACATCGACTACACCATCGACGCTCGGGACTTACTCTTTGGTGACTGCACCTACAACTTCGCCCGAACTACATCCTCTAGGAGCTCTACAACCTCCAGCGCCGCCGCTGCTGCTGAGCTGCTGGGCGAGGCACCTACTACCTCTTGGAAGACCACCTCGGCGAGTTCACCCTCAGAAGATGGCCAAAGACTTCAAGGAAGTGGCCAGTTGGAATGGAGAGCCAACCGGCTGGAATGACTATGCTCGTCAAGTCCGCCTTTGTTGGGAGAAGACCGCCAAGCACAAGAGGAAGCTTCTTGGTCCAGAGCTCGCTAGCAAGCTCACCGGTCGAGCATGGGCAGTCACGCCCAATCTTGACCACCAGAAACTTGGCAAACGCAATGGAACCAAGTACCTGCTCAAGTACCTCCAGGACCGCTTGTGCAGGACGGCCATCCCTGACGCAGGAGCTCGGTTGGAGGATCTGTTGATCCGGATGAGGAGGCCGCTTGGTATGGCTATGAGCCAATGGGCCAACGAAGTGTTGGAGGGGTACCGCAAAGTCCAGCGGGCCCTGATTCGTGCACGACAGCTCCAACGAGCAAAGGACAAGGATGAGGTGAAGAGCATCTCTGAACCTCATCAAGAACCTCCTACCTCGCCGACGAGGAGAACGCCCTCGACGAGCCCAGCACACCGGTCGACGCCAAGTCCTTCAAGAAGAACTGCTGGCTATGGTGCTGACCCTCAAGACCCGATCCAGGAGTCAGGAGATGAGCGTGGCGACTACGCTGCTGTCCCTCAAGGTCTTGAAGATGAAGAAGAACATGAAGATTGGGAACCACGCTGGACAGACGCTGAGTGGAAGGAGTGGCGCAAGCAGCAGAAGAAAGAGTGGTATGATGACGATTCAAGTTCTGGAGAAGATCTTCCTTGGGACGAGCTCCAGGTGGAGGAGATTCAGGTGTTGCCGGATGAAGTTCTTGGATGGTTGTTGCTCAGGAGGGCAAACCTGAGTGCATCGAGTCGCCTATCTGTTCAAGCTTCTGTGAACAACTCCCTCAAGTTCCAGGACATCGAGTTGGCTTTGAGAGACCAACAAGAGGAGCTGTTGCAGGCAGACCAAAGCCGAGGACCTCATGGCAAACGCCGCACCTACTGGGTGGAAGAAGATGGTCAATGGGGTCTACTTGCCGCCATGGAAGACGGCGACGAGGTTGCAGAGATCCACTGGGTTGGACCTCAACTTCCAGCTGAAGTATATGACCCTGGACCTGGACCTTCAAAGGATGATGAAGACGATTCCATCCTCTGGACGCAGGAGTATGATGGATGGCATGGCTACTACCAGGACAACTATGGCTTTTGGTTCGAGACTGATGGCTATGACACCTATTGGAGTGCTGACGATGGCTATGCTGACCTGGATCCAGAGGAGGTAAAAGAATTGGATGAAGCCTACATGGCCTACGAGAACAAAGCCCGCACCTTCATGCAGAGCCGACAACTTCAGAAAGCGAAAGGTGCCTCGAGAGGTTTCTATCCCCTGGGCATGATGAAGGGCAAGAAAGGCCGTTCGAAGGGGAAGTACAAGATGGGACACACTTCATCGTCCTCATCCTCTTCAACGATGGCAAAGCCTCTATTTGCTGCTCAAGGACCGGATGGATCTTCAACGACCTCGAGCACGGGATGCTTCATCTGTGGCGATAAGGGCCATGGATTCCGACAATGCCCAAAGAGATCCAATCCGTCGACAAGTTCATTTGGCAAGGGCGCCAAGAAAGGTACCTACTGGGTCGAGTCATTGACGGGCTCACCCTTGGCTTTCGTGGGCATGGTCATGAAGGAGGAGGTGATCTACGACACCACCGGCTATGGAGTGCTGGATTGGAGCCACTGAGACGGTGGGCTCCTTGGAGGCGCTTGAGGCTCTGATGGACTTGCGCAGCAGGATGCATGGCATTTCGGAACCAGTGGAGGTGTTCACAGGACCATCTGCTCGCAAGCCTTTCAGGTTTGGCAATGGGGGAATTCAGGTGTCCTCCAGCTATGTCATGGTTCCACAACGACTAGGAGATCAACTGGTCTCCTTGGGGCTCTACACGATTGACGCCGAGAAGGTGCCGATCTTGATGGAGAAGATGGGTGCGCTGATAGATGTTTGTGGGAGATGGCTTGTCCTTTCGTCCATCTCCCCAGAGGTGAAGATCCCCTTGGCAAAGAGCCGAGCTGGACATCTTTTGGTGAACCTCACCATGGACTGGTTGAATGTCAGCCAACCTTTGAATGCTGCAACCCGTGCAGCATATACAGCGCACTGTCGGTCGAATGTGTTGAGTCATTCAAGCTTTTCTCCATGTGGCCATGTTCATGAAGCTTCCATGCCGATTTGCACTTCTTCATCGACCGCGTCGTGCAAGAGTTGTGTTGTTGAGAAGGTTTGGATGATTGAGGATGAAATAGAAGGTGAAGATTTTCCTGAAGAGTCCATTGTGCTCATGAGTGAAGGCTCGTGAGCCCATCGAGTGCTGCCTTGGATCCTTCACCACCACGCCATGGCGCCCAAGAAGGACAAGTCCACCAAGGAGAAGATCCCCGCGGACGAGAAGTACGACTGGACACGGACGCAGGGTCCGGACAAGGAGGATCCTCGATGCCTGGGACCTCCGTGCTTCGGGGAACGCCAGGAGGCCCTGCCGGGCCGAGGATCGGTGACAGGGAGCAACAAGTTTGCTCGGTGGACCGGATGTCAGGCCTGCGGCATCCGCCTGAGCTACACCCCCTCGTGGGGAAGTCATGGCCTATCACGACAAGCTGGCCCTTTACATCAGGACACTTCCAAGCAGCTGGAGGAAAAGAAGCCAGCAAAGGGCTCCATCGACTTGGTCAACAAGAAGATCGGCTACGACGCGCAGGAGAGGAGCATCATGAACCAGTTGGAGATGGTGCAAAAGAAGAAAGAGCAGTGGTTGAAGATCCAGGCCAGCAAGGGCGAGGCGATCAAGGAGAACGACCAAGAGAAAGGCCATGGGAAAGGCTATACCGTCCCGAAAGAGAAGATGGACTACGCCCTTATGGACCATCAGCAGAAGGCGTCAGGTACAATGTCTTCGGGACCAATTTCCCAGATCGGGACCACGCTCACCGACAAGGAGGTGATGAGCCAGACACCGGGCCGCAAAGCTCGCAAGCCAGAGGAGTCGGCGGAGCATTTGGAGTACAGCCATCGCAATGGCGAGAGCCCGGAGTCGGAGGAGTGGTCGATGGTGGCTGGGCAGCCGAGCACGACCCCGTGACGGAGAAGGTGCATCAAGGCAGTGCTCAGAGGCTGAGACCAGAGGTTTCACCTGCAAGGAATTTGACGAGTACAAGTACACCTATGGCGGAATCGACCGAGAGGGTCGAAGGTTTCACTTCAGATGGCATTTTGCCGACGACAATGTCTTCCTCACGTGGCAAGAGGAAGAAGCGGGACACTGAGAATGAGGAGGTCTACATCAGCACCTTGGAGGAGGAAGAGACAGCCTTCTTGATCCAAGAGATCGACAACTATAACTCTGAGGTGGAGGAGCTGATGATTGCCCTACGTGCCATGAACACTGGCGAACGACCTCCCACCATTTTGGAAC